AAAATGGGCATAATAATAGCACCTCCCAGGGGTGTTGTGAGGATCACATGAAATAATGTATAGAAAGTGTTTTGCAAATTTGAGATTGCTATATAAATGTTAGCTATTGCTATTATTATTGTTCTATTTTAGCCCAAGACAACTCAAACTCAAATTAGAGCTTGATTGTTCTGTGGCACTTGGTTTAAGTTAAGCTTTTCTGAGCCTCTCCTCATTTTTAGGCCATCAGTTATTGGACAGTAAAGACCTGATCTCCTGGGAGCCAGGCCAGCCCATTTCACATCACGGGTGCCCATTAAACATCAATTCAGTCAAGTGAGCAGCATTCAGGTTAGTCTTTAGCCTTCTGTGAAAGGTCTTTGAGAACTCCCTATGAGAAGTACTATAGAAATAAAATGAATTAATATATACCCATGTGTAATATATTTAAATGATGGGATGCAAGCTTCAGTGTTCCAGATGTTGATATGATTATGATTTGATAGTTACCAAGTTTCAGGAATAATTGCTCCCTAGACCTTCTATGTTTTTTCCTTACAGGATTCCTGCCTTCTTTTGCCACAGGATCTCTTAACTCAGCCCAAAAGATTTATCATTCCTAGACTCCAGTGAGGATCCATTGATGCTTCACTAAAGAGGTCCTATGGTTAGAGATGCCTTTGTCTGGGTCAAATGCTATACCCAGGTAGTTAAAAGATATTCTCATTCGAGCTAGTCAGTATTCTACCCAAGGTTGACCACTGATTTCAGGAGAATTGTCCATAGTATCTGGTGAAGAAACATAAAGCCCTCTCCTCAGAACATCCTTGCAGCTCTGAACAGTTTTTCCCCTTTTAAAGATGAGGAAATTAATGTTTACTTTGCATTTAGAGTTCTGACCCCCCCCTTCTCCCCACCCCATACACATACCAGTGAAATCCAGGAAATATGCTCTCCAAGGACCAGGGCCTGATACTTTATCATCAAACGCAGGCCTTTGTTTGCCTTTCAGTGACAAGCACTGAGGACAGAAAGTCTCAGCTTTATCTCTCTGGTTGCACTACGTAGGGGTCAGAATGGGGCCCCAAACATAAGTAGGTGGTAGATTTTCTAGGGGTCAACAGGTGCCTTGATACCATACTAAATGAACATAAAAAGTAAAAGAAGAAATGAACCAGCAAACACAGAGCAATCCCACACCCATTTCTTGTCTTTCCTTCTATTCTTCAAGTCCCAGCTAAAATCCCATTTTCCACAATAAGCCTTTCCTGACCCCATTTCCTGATCAGCCTTAATGCTATGCCTTCTCTCTGTTGTTTATCTCCAATTTATCTTGTATGTACATAATCGTTTGCATGTTGTCTGTCCCATTAGATTGCGCGGTCTTTAAGAGCCAGAAACTGTTCTGTTTTCTCTCTCCCTTCCTCTGTATCCCCAGTGTGTAGAACAGCGCTTGGCATATAGTTGGTGCTTATTCAATGCTTATTAACTGACGGATCCAGGGCTTTTGATGATGCGAAGTTCCATAGAGCCTCCTAAAGAATCCATTGATAAAGTCCAGAGGTGATGTTAACTGTGTCAATTTCCTAGTAGATTGCATCCAAATAAAAGGAAAAGTTAACCCTGTCAGAAGGTGGGGGCACCATCCTTAAGCAATTAATTATAGGTATCTAAAGAGGAAAGGAAATAGGATTCAGTAGGAAAAACTTGGATTTAAAGTAAGCTTGGGTTCATGCCTTCTTCCCAAATAATCATTCTTCAGTTGAAGAGTCACTGCAAGGATGAAGGTTGGTGTAATGCAAAAGCCACTAGAATAAGAATCAGTAGCACTGGCTTCTAATCCTGTCTCTGTTACTAAAAAGCTGAGTGACCTTGGGTACATCTTGTGATCCCTCTGTGCGTCTTTGCCTATAGAATAAGGGTATTAGACTAGATGATCTCGAAAAGTTTGATATTCCATCTCTGGTATTCTAGGATGTCAGAAAGATCTGCTTAAAGAAAGTTCAAATGTGGACAGCAGAAAGGGATGTCGCAGGCAACACAAGCAGTTTTTTAGAAGCCAAGAATTGAAAGCGATGTCCCTCCCATCTTGGTAAGGAAGACAAGGGAAGAATGGCTACTGTCTAAATCCTTATGTTTTGGTTCCTGAGGCTTTCCTGAGGCCATTTTATGGACTCCTTAATAGAAGCCCCCCAATCCATAGTCATTCCTCCTTGTTTCATGTGCCCTCAGCACAACCTTATAGACTTAACACAGCTACTGAGATTTGTGTGGGGCTTAGACAGGACAGGCAGATGTTTTAAAGACCAGGATAAATACAATTAAGGTGACTGTCTCCAGTCGCATATTAACATTCAAAAAATCTTTGCTCTGGAGCAAGGGTATTAGGTAGCTTAGCCAACTTCTTAAAAATGTTACTCTTTCTTTACAAAATGTCAAGTAAGATTTCAAGAGGGAATACTTCATAACTGAAGTATGTTTTCCTTAGGGCAATAAACCACTACTAAATTTACTTTTTTTCCCTCCAGACATGAAGCCAAAGCCTTCATCTGTTTTTCAGAGAAATAAAAATCTTAGGTGTTTTCCTCGAGCAGAGTGAAGCTCCCTCCTGGGTGGCAGAATGAAAGTTGGGCAAACTTTATAAATCTAGGGGGGGGGAGACGTTTTTGGCAGCAGCCAGGGTTCGAGTATAGTTTTTCTGTGCATGGTGTTTAAAGCCTACCAAGAGAAGCTTGTCCATACACTGCTTCCACTGTACCGGTCAGACCTCTCTAGACCATGGAAGCCTGCCACGTATGTAAGGGAAGCTTTTCACTGAAACAGCAACAGAAATTAAAAGTCAGTCTTTCAATTATTTCTATATCTGACAAATGTTTGGCTCATATACAGAGGTTTATGATTACTGTACCCCTGCCCTCTCCACATATACAAAAAGTGGTTGAAATTAATTGGAAATAAAAAGTTGTATGATCTACATAGTGCTAGGGTCTAGGCCAATGCAGACTCAAATGTAGTTTTCATAAACTAAGCAATAGCAATTGCCCCTAGCATAACATTGATTTTTTGGGTGGGAATGTTATGTGTCTATGTGTGTAATATATACATATATGAGGAAGGAAATGAAGTATGAGGGATAGAAAGTTGGCCTTGGTAGTCAGGAAGATCTGGGTTTCAAGTCCTACACCTAACACACACTAGTTGTGTGACTATGAACAAATCTATCCAAGGGAGCAGATGTAGGAAGCTCTGCAGACCTCAGGTTTAAGGCTGCTATTAGCCCAAGAGCTTAACACTGCTGCATTGGCCTGTCCAGCAGAAGAGTGGAGAGACAAAGAAAAGCAGGTGATGTTGGATGGATATTGATCAAAGACATCCAAGCCTGCAGTGCTGAGTCATGTGTTGCCTTGAACAAAGGGGACTCATATTGCTCACTGCTAGGTTTCTGTGGGTTCCCACTTTCCTCTTCATGGATACTATGTACATTAGTGGGGAGAGTATGACGCAGGTTTGCAATCTGTACTATTATGTTTTGATTATTCCTGCTTTTGCTTTCTAATCAGTAAATGTTATATTTATAAACTTGCTTTTGTTTATGTTTATGTTCTTGCTTTTGTCTTATTGTTTCAGTTTCATGTTTAAGAGATAGTGGTATCATTGTGATTTATTTGTATAAATGTAAAACACACCATTAGGGGCTCAAGGTCTACAGTAATGAGCACAGAAATGTATTTCCCCCGAATAAGAGATATCTTTAAGGCTCTAAGAGTATGTGATGGCTATGGCCAGCCTCTTGTTTCCCCCCAAGAATTCTCAGTCCTGACAGCAGGAGCACAGCTTCGGGTAAGTCTGTCAAGAGGAAGAGAAGTAGGGTTCAGGTGCCATGTCAAGTAGCCATACCCTTTATATGTTTTACTTATACACATAGAGTTATTGTTGTGAGGTTGGGGGAAGGGAGTTTAACTTGAGGGTATAAGAATGTAAAGAACCCATTTTGAGGATCTAGATTCAAATTGCTTATACTAATACTCTGATACTAATGGTGTAATCCTAGGGAAGCTATTTGAACTCTCTGGGCCTCTGTTTCCTGCTCTGCAAAATGGGAATGGGGTGGACTATGTGATACCTGAAGTCCTTTCCAAATCTAAATTGATGATCCTGAGATAATAATAGTATCTGATTTTTGTCCATGTTCTTCCATAATTCTGTCATAGAGGATTTACCCCAAGTGGTAAATGCCCATCTCTGGGTAGTATATACTTTACAAAGCAGATTTTCTGTTCCTAGCCTCTAGTAGTTTAGACTCTAAGACAAACTAATAAAACACATAAAAGATACGACCAAGAAGATCAAGAAGAATTTTTATATTTGTAAGGTTGCTTAGAGATCCTGCAGGGCAAGTTCTGGCTGCCCTTATCAAGTAAGCCCAGCCCCAGTGATAGACTGTGTCTGTCTTTTGAGAACCAGCTAAATTCTAAGAGACTCTTCGCCAGAATGCTGTCCACCAGAAACATGAAGTGATGGGGGAAAGGAGGTAGAGCATGTCATGAAACATCCTATTAATGTATGGAGTTTTAACAATCTGCATTTTTGAAGGGAGCAATCACATTTGTCTAGAGTACTTTGACTCACTCTCCCAGAATCATGTAGGCTACATCTGTACCCTTGAAGAGATTGGGGGGATCTCTTCTCTATAACCATTGGTTCAAGCCCCCCACTGACTGTTTCCCAACAGCTAGGTGCTAATGATTGCTGCTCCAGTTTGATTTAGTTACTTAATATCCATTAGATTTTACAAAGGGATATTTACTTCAAAGACATAGTAAGAACAGAAGTATAAATATTTGCCCTCAATACCTTGGGGGCACATTCTCTCCTATCCCATCCTGGTTTTAGGGAGAGTGGGATTCCTCTTAGTACAGTTCATATCCAGATGCAGCACGACTGTGAATGAGTAATCAGCTAAGCTACCACTGAGATGACTCTTAAAGATTAATTTTGAACTTCATTCCTTTCTTCCTCAGGGCAGTGATGCTGAACTGGCTGCAAAATCTTGTTATTAGGATGTTGGGATGCCACTCTCTATTCACCTAAAATGAAAGAATAAATGCCAAGACAGGCCAAGAAGCCAGACCCATATTCACAGGGCAACATGGCTTCCAAGGGAAGAAGGGCCAAGCCCTCTCCCCTAACAGCATTATCACTCACCAGAAGCCACAAGCAATGTAGTTAAAGAGATTTATTAAAACCAAGCAGCCAAACTGCATGGTCTTGGCTCTTCCCATCCTGGCTACGCAGCCAGAAAAGACTTCTCCTAACCACATGGTTAACAGGAGTTACAGAAAGTCTACACGTGCTCCAAGGTCTCTGCAAAGCATTTGGTGAGATCAAGAAGGAAGATGGAGCCATCTCACTTGTAAGTTTCCTGCTACTTACTGAATCCTATCAAATCCTGCCATGTCACTCTGCTGCTGCTGTACCTTTCCAACCAGACCCTCCAACTCTGTCCAAAAGGTCTTGCTCATTAGTGAGAGTTCAATATCTCCAGCCCGTCCTAGCCAGCTGATCTTGTTCCCCACCATGTTTTCACCATTCTACTGAATATGGACCATTATACCACCATGCCAGCACCCCCCAACCATACTTTCCACCTCTTCTTTTGGGAACAGTGATCAGTTCTGTAGTAGCAATGCTTCTACAAAGCGTATGTCAATGGATTGCCTCCTGGCTACACTTTCCATCCCTGTGACTTCACTCTTCCCAGGTAACCATTTCCCAATTTATATTATCAATCCTTTTTTGAGAAGGAAATGGCAAACCACTCCAATATCTTTGCCAAGAAAACCCCAAATTGGGTCATGAAGAGTCAGACACAACTGAAATGACTGAACGACAAAATCCCTTTCTGAATGTGATCTCCTTCATGGCAGAGACCATCTCTCTTTTGTATTTGTATTTCTAGTGCTTATCACTGTCCCTAGTTCATAGTAGTTACTTCATAAATGCTCATTCATGGCTTGTCCCTGAAGGGAGCATGGTGTATGTGAAAGAGTATTAGAGACCTTAGTTTGTATCTTGTCCCTGACACTGTCTGATAGTGGGACCATGAGCAAGTTATATAACTTCTCTGAGCCTTAGCTTCCTTCTCTGTAAAATGAGACTAATAACATTTGTACTTATGGGATTGTGTATGTATTAGACATCTCAAAGTTTTAAAGAAATGTGAGCTTTTATTACTATTCAAGTCCCACCTTCTCTTCCTTGATGACTCCACCCTCAAATGATCTGTCCTCTTTCTGTAGCATACTTTGGGAATATGACCCTAGCACAACAAACTATTCATCCATCTCCTGGAAAACATTATCTTTCTTATGCTTTTAAAAAATGATATCCTGACAGGAAGATAAAGTTATAGACATATGTAAAGGGGTTGCATTGACATGCATGGGGATAGGCCTGTGGGAGCCATTACACAGAGCACAAGCTGGGTCCGTGGGGCCACTTCCAAAGATATATGTGCTCAGCCCTGAAGGACTTTGTGCTTTGAGATGATGAAGCAATCCTATGAACTCCAGAGCAGGAAGGATTGTCTACTTAGTAGACTTTAAAGGGAGAGACAAATTCCATTCTCAATCTTTTCTTCCTCTCTTCAGAGCATGTAGCATGAAAATCTCTACCTGAGAATTCCTGTGAAATGGAGAAGGAATTTCTTTTCCCCTACTCCACCTTGGTGGCAATGGTGACCACATGCACATGGCAGGTAAAACATATAATCCCATTCTGCATCTCAAGGCATTCTTTGGCTTTGTGATTCTTTTACTGATCGTGGGGAAGGGAAAGATTACTAAATACTTGGAATGGATGTTTCCAGGCTGAGGGACAACCTCATGAGTGCTATAGGTCAGGTACTCCTGGACCCTCAGTCTATGTAGGTGTCCTGAAGCTGCTACACTTCACCAGGAGATGAACACCAACCAGAAAATTACCGCAAGCCCTGGTCTAGCTTGCTAAATGACATGGAACTTGGGGGAGTTGTTTATAATGCAGAGGCAAGTTGAAGGTGAAATTCAACAATCCCACTAACTGCTCCATGTTTTAAGCAGCATTCTCCCAGGAGGGAATAATAAGAATTATAAGTTAACATAACATGGTGTAAGTCTTTGTCAAGAGGCACTTGTGAGTCTTTCGTATTTTATGTTTTTCTTTTGTGTGAAAGCAATAAATAATTATTCTATACTTGTACCTATATCAAATGAGATAATATTATAAAGCACTTCACACAATGCCTGTGCTAAGACACAGTAGGCACTTAATAAATGCTTATTTCCCCCCCTCCCTTTCCCCTGCATATTTATTCTGCATTTTACATTGAATAACTTTCTACTCCCTTTTGAGGAGACCCTAGACATGAATCAAACCTGAGTTTTATGTGACTTTCTCCAGGTTTCTGGGGTTAGAATGTAAAGATCAGAGGCTATGAGAAAGAACCAAATCCCTCTCTTTAAAGGCCAGCTTTTTCCCAGAACCAAAAATCATCCAAGCGTGAACTGAGAGCTGGGTCCTTCGGTGGGAGAGGCTGAGCACCCCAGCCCCCTGGGTCCAGTGGATCTGCTGTTAAACATACATATATACATATACACATTTCTCACACACACACACACACACACACACACTCATATACACACACTCACACACATATTGCCTTGTAGTCCCAGGCATGAGCAGACCTGAGGAATGTCAAAAGCTCACTGGAAATAGTGATGCTGACACTGAGCCTAGATAAACCAAGGTGCTATCCAGGTGGTAGGGGGGGTGAAGGGGTTGGGAGGCAGGAAGGGGGAGAGAGCTCTGAGGGAGTAGATTAGGAAGGGATTACTTTTTCTAGCAAGGAAAATAATATAAAATGGAATATAATAACTCAGGGAATTTGAACCAAAGAGCATGACTATAAAACATTGAGGAGAAACCACAAAAAAAGCAGGAAGAAATGGTTGCTTGCATTACTGCGAGTGTTAGTTACATGCGAGTTACTCAGAAGTCATGGTGCTTCCAGTTCCCGAAAATCAGAGGCAAGAGCAGTGATAGAAGCTGGGTCTCCAAACTCAAGAGAGAAAAACAGAATCGTAAAATGGGGAGAAAGCTTAAAGGGAGCCTTGAGAATAAGCTCCCAGCAAGTTCTGATTCATCCATCTCTTATGTTCATTTCTCCAGCACCTCACATGGTGCCTGGCCCACTGCAGGTGCTTATTAAAAATGCTTGTTGATTGATTGTTTGGGAGGGAGAGATACAATTCCACTGCCTGGACCTCACTAAAGGGGAGTTCCATGGATGGAACAACTTCTGAGGTTTGGGCAAGATTAGAAGGAATGTCAGGGGAAGGAAAAGATCCTCTCAGGCTCATTTGGTGTCAAAAAGGCCTTTGTTACGATGCATTGGAGGCCACAACATATCTTGAGAAAGCAATAAGATCCTGTGGATGCCAAGGCTCTGATCCTACGGGGACAGTTGGAAAAGAGGGAAAATCAATGCTATTCTACTCAGCAAATATATATTGAACACTATATGCAAGAATCTGTGCCAGGTCCTGGGGATACAAAGCTCCCTCCCCTATAGTACTAGCCCTCAAGGTGCCCACATTCTATTAGGGTAGGGGGAGGGCTAGTGGATATAACAGTATAATATAACTTAAGGAGTAAAGGGTGCAAAGGGACCAGCAGACAAAGTGTCCTAAGAATATTTAAGGAGGAAGAGAACATGGATTTAGGATTCCACTAAAAAGGGGCTCTTGGTGGTGCTCTATTGCCTACAGGATGAATTCTTATAGCCTAATATTTAAAGTCCTCTATAAGCTGGTTTTGGTCTGCCTTGCAGTGCCATCTCCCACTGCTTCCTGGAAAGTACCCTAAGAGCCTCAGTTTTCCAGGGGCTAATTCCCTAATGGTGGCACAATATCTCTCGCTTGTGGACCACTTCTCTCTGCTAACAGGCCACCACTCTGGCTTCTACTCTCATCACCCTCTCACATGGACTATTATAGTAGCCTCCTAATTAGTGGGAATAAGAATTTCACTTCCTAACTATTGATTGCCATGCCTGAATGAGACTGAAGGTTGCAATTGGAATTTAAAACTAGAAAATCATTCCTCAATCAACTTCACAATCTGCTATAAGTGGCTTTGTAATGGAGAGCCAATCTTGGTAGTGAGGGTTGGCAGCTAGGATTGACATTTCACAGGGTTATAGATTAAGATCTAGAGGGGATCATAGTGTCCATCCAGTCATGGACAGAAGAGGTCTTCGTAACTTGCTTTTCGAGGGACCTGGCAGAGTGCTTTGTGTAGATCAGCACTTCATAAAGATTTTTTTGTTGACACACACAGACTCTTTTCTAAAGACATGAAAGTGCCGTCCTTTATTTTTCAAGGTTATCCACTCTCATACAACACATACTGAACTTTTTTCCCATCAGAAGAAGGTTACTTTCTTCCCCAAATCATCCATTGCTTCCATCCAAAAGTTTGTTGTTGTTCAGTCATTTCAATCATGTCTGACTCTTCATGACCCCATTTGAGGTTTTCTTGGCAAAGATACTGGAGTGATTTACCATGTCCTTCTCTAGCTCATTTTACAAATGAGGAAACTAAAGCAAATAGAGTTAAGTGACTTACCCAAGGTCACACAGCTAGTAAGTATCTGAGGGTGGGTTTGCACTCACAAAGATGAGTCTTCCTGACTTCACGCCCAGCACTCTATCCACTGTGCCACCTAGCTGCCCGTCTACCCAGAAGCACACATCTGTAAAATAGATGACTATTTCTAGGAGTAGGGGAAGGGAATATGTGATTATGGATAATATCAGATGACCTGACTTTAACCTGACATTTCTATGTACCATCTATGTGACTTCAATCAAATTACTTAACCTCTCTGAGTATCAGTTTCCCTTCTAATCCATACTTCATAGACTACAAAACTTATTTTTCTAAAGTATAGGTCTGACCATGTCACTCTTCTGATCAATAAACTCCTGTGGCTCCCTATTACCTGACATTCAAAACCTTTCACAATCTGGTTTCAACCTATCTCTACAACTTTATTATACATCATTCCCCTTTATTCCCTCTGTGGTCCTTTGCCAAATTGACCTTTCTCCTACTACTGACATGTATCCATCTCTGTGCCTTGGCATAAGCTGTCTACCTTGTCTGGAATACACTTCCTTCTCACCTCTGCCACTTAGAATCCCTAGTTTTCTTCAGAGTTCAGCTCAAGTGCCAGCTTTTACATGAAGCCTTTTCTGATTACCCCAAATGCTAATGTCCCTCAATTACCTTGAATTCATTTTGTATATACTTGTAGGTTATACACATTGTTACCCAACAGAATGTAAGCTTCTTAAGGGAAGGAACTGTTTTGTTTCTGTCTTCGTATCTCCAAATCCTAGAGTAATACTTGGCATATCAGAGGCACTTAATAAATGTCTGTTGGTTGATTGAAGGAAAGTTGACCTGACTAGGTAAAGGAGTCTATCACCTTCCAAACTGGTTGGCACCAATAAACATATAGAAACAAATTCAAGAGACTGGAGGGAAGACAGCAATATTTGGGTTTCTTTGAGTTTTAGGACTTTTAGTCATGTGGATCATTTGCAACCTGTGCACTTCATTTCTGGTAAAAGTACCTGGCTTGCCTCAATGCTAAAATTTGGAGTATTAATGACTAGGGTGAATGATGTGCAGAAATTCATGGGTAGTCCCTGCTGCAACCCCTAAAAACAATCTCTCGGCAGCTTAAGGATATTGGGTTGACTTAACTCCCCGAGTTTTTCCCATAGGAAAGCTAGAAACAAGATCCACTTGGGGGATATAGAGCCAATAAGGGAGTTGTGAAACCAGAGCTATGCAGAAGCATTGGCTATTAAAACTTGCCCATTACCAACTACTTGACAGCAGGTGAGAGTTTGTCTTGGTATTTAGAGGAACGTTGGAAAATTAGTCCATATTGCCATGCTGGCTGCTGTACTGACTGATCTCATTTGGAAAAATTCACCCAATAAAATAAATATGACCCAGTTGTGTGAGCTAAACTTTAAAGAACTGTAGGTTGTTCATGGTGATGGGGTATATTTGGCTGAGTCTGAACTGTTCTTGCTACCTCCTGGTCCTGAGTAAGGGCAAATTTGGCTCCTTTTCAGGTGGGAAGTGGACTCTTTTGTACTGGAGTCATATGCCACTTTCAAGAAATGAGATATTTTGCCCTAGGAAAAAGCAATGCTCAGCCATAAAATGGACTTGGGAGCTGCTGAAATACTATTTCCTTGGAATAAAACATGTACCTTAGTCAGTCTTATTGCTGGTAGATATGTAGACACCATGGAAGTTAGGGGGGGTGGGGGTTAAATCATAATGGTGCATGGAACTCTGAGGATTTTCCCTTGGAGCAAATAATTTAATGAGCCGAAAAACTCTTGCAATTTTTAGATTCAAGTTCAACAATTTCAGTCCTGTGACTGAGCCAGTGGAACAGCTACAGGTTTTGTATGGGTCATTGCTGAAGTTATTAATACTTAATGCAAGTTGCTGCCATGATCTCCAAAGCTGGGGAGAGCCATAGCAATAGTTAAAAACCAGCCCAGGTGGTGGGAAAAGAGGGAGCAGATGAGCTATTTTATCTAGAAACAGAGTCCATTTCATGGGTCATACAGTCATGACTCTGATTCAATTTCTTTTCCCCATTCCCTTTTTCTAGATTTCTAGAAC